AGCACTTAGCATCTCATAATTGGAGTTAAATGACAAAAAAAAAATGAGGGGATAATAAAGTAAAGAGAAAAAAGGAGAGAGAAAGTTTTGACAATATTCTTTTTAACCTGTGGTTCTTAATAAGATTTTTGCAGGAATTGTTTTAGGTTAGGAAAGAATCAAATCTCCGATCAAGAGAGATGACGCTGATTTATTAGAAGAGTTTTATAATACAGAATAAAGACCTGGCTCCAGGTAGACAGTACGGAATTTACTACTTCCAAGAGAGAAAATTTCCCAATTTCTGGAGTAGGAAGAAAACTTCATTTATCATCTTTTTCTTCTGTCCATGGGGACTAGAAGATAATACAATTTTTTTTAAATAAAAGGAACTGATTTAGTCAGAGTTGCTGGATTACAGAGAGGCGGATAATTAAAGCACAGACATCAAAACCAAAACAATAATAACAGTTATCATAACAAATTTTATTGAGCCCTTATTACGTGCAGGCTCCATGCACAATCTCATTTAATTTTCACAGCATTCCTATGCACTAGGTGATACCGTTGTCTCCATTTCACAGCTAAGGAGAGACTCAAAGAAGTGCATGACTCTAGAGAAAGTGATACCACCAGGATTTGAACCCAGGCAGTCTGGCTCCTGAGCAGGTCCTTAACCGCCACACTAGTTTGAGCACAACTGTTATAAGAAGTCTGGTAAATGTCAAAGCCACATCATGTGTAGCTTTCATTAGCTATTGTGCTTTTGCCTTCCTGGACTCCTTCCTCCCTAAAAAATTATTCAAACTTATGTTTTATGACTGCACTGACATTAATATAAATACATTAACATTAGATATTAAAGCATTTTCTTTGACTGGGGCACCTGGCTGGCTCAGTCAGGAAAGCATGCAACTCTTGATCTCAGGGTTGTGAGTTAAAGCCCCATGTTGGCTGTAGAGATTACTTAAAAATAAAAAATATCTAACCCCCCCACCCCCACATTTTCCTTAACCAAAATTTTTACCATTTTAATGATTTTAAAAGAAATTAAAACACTGTGGGCCCCTGAAAGTGTTGTAGCATGTCTACTGAGACTAATGGAGAAGTCGGCCCTGGTTAGCATGACAAAAAAGCCACGACTCGAACATGATATCATGTAACCTCATTGCTGATTATGACAGGATCCAGAAAGCTATGGCAATGGAATAAATGGAAATAACATGAGAAGAAGAATGAAGGGGTTTTCATCCCCCTCGTTTTTTTGGAGGACACACGGCTTGGAGCCTTGTTTGCTCCCTGAGGAGTGCAACTCCAGAACTGTTGAGGTCTTTATTGACTTTATCTACATTAATACAGTTTAATTTAGTTAAAAAAAAAAAAAAGCAAAACTTGGATACTTAACTGATAATACTGGCAGCAAACTAACAGATTATTATAGATGGCTAGGGTCAGAGACATTGCCCTTAGGATTCTGACCTGGGCAGTTTTTTGGGAAGGGATTCCCTGGAAATACAGAGAAAAGCCCATCAAATGCCTCAGTCCTCACTCACAGCAACAAACTGTAGTTTCTGTCCCAAAGAGAAATGAGATTCATCCATTAATGTTTCTCCCCACCCCAACCCAATAATGCTTCACATGACCCATTATCTTGGATGCTAATAAATGAAGGGTCATTCTGAGATGATGTTGAATCTCAAGTTTTGGCCAAAACCTGAATGTATTCTGAATAAAAGTAATGAGGGAAAAACAATATCTATTTTTAGTTCCCAAATCGCTACTCGACCACCGACCTGGATATAACATAAATCCACACATGTATGACCACATTACCATGTTAGGGTTTAGTATCTGTTTTGCTTTATGATAAAAATAATCTCAAGTTAGCTCTGGTTGAATTAGATCCTTTGCAAGGAGTTCTCTCAGTGTTAGACACAACATCCTGAATGAGATTTATGTGTAACACATTATCTGAAATTTCCCTCTTTTAAAGCCATGGTTTAAAAGGGAGGAGAAATGCATACTTGTATTAAGCAAAGAAAATGCCCCAGGAATCCAGGAAAAAATATTTTCTTTGCAGTTTTTAACTCATTTAAAATCATGCCATTTTATGAACTTCTTTAGCTTATAGGACTTTTAAACCAGAGAACAGATAACCAAGTGTATGGCATTTATAGACTTCATTAGGAAATTGGGCATTATTTACCTGAAAAATGATTGAGAATGTGAGTCTGGGATTCTGTTAAGATCATAGGCAACAAAAGGCACAAAGTAAAAGGCAACTGATAAGCAAATGATAGATGATTGAATGGATAGATACACGAATAGATTAATGAATAGATGGAAAAACAGATGGATAATACAGATGAATGAATTAATAGAGACACAAAGGATAGGCAAGTAGATGACAGATAATAGAAAGATATTCATAGATCAATACCTGGTTAGAAAATGGATAGCTAGATGCACATGGATGAACAGAATGCTGGGAAGCAGAATAAAGAGTTGATATATAAATGAATATAGTTAGGTGAATGGAGAGGTAGATGCTTGAGATTGATGAACGTAAAGATAAATTTGGAATGAAGTCGTAGATAGATAGAAGGGTACAACAATATCACAATTGCACCCAACTGGAATGGAATACCAATGAAGATAATGACATTTCTCTTCATGGAGCTATTTTAAATAATTTAACTGTGTTGGGGGAAGTATAGGCTAGAAGGAAGAAGTGAGTCAGTCTCTAGGAGTCCCAAAGTTTCACAATAAATGTCTTAGTTATAAGGAGAAAACACATGGGTGTGCCATGATGTAGCCACTCCTGCGTAATGCTTGAATCTGGCCCACTCAGCCTCTTTGACACACACTAGAACAGTGAGGGATGCACAGAGTGGCGGGTGCACAGGACAGCCTTCATGCATCCTTGGTGATGCACAAGAAGTCCTGCCTTTTTGCCTCTTTTTCACTTCTGATATTCACATATACCTTCACTGGTCGACCTACTCAGGAAGGTCTGATGTTGTAATTAATCCATGTCATAGGAGGATGTAGTATCCGCAGAATTTATGAGTGGGCTTGAGCTGCCGTGATGAGTAGGGGCACCTCAGCCCGAGTGATATAAATTCCTCTGCTAATTGGATTGCTGGAGCTAATCAGAAGCCAGAAAGGGGATAAAAAAAAAAATCCGTGTTCCTTCTCCTGCTGCTGCTGCTGGCTGATAAAGCGCACAGCTCCTTTCTGGACAGGGGGTGCTGGAATTGAATCCTCTTCGGAGGTCTCACTGTAGATGGCTATCTCAAAGGTGACGCATCCCTTCTGTCACCAGGCCAGCAGAAGACAGAGCAATGGGAGAAAAGAGGAGAACGATCCCAAAGAGATTTTACTACTGAATCAAAAACAAACAAACAAACAAACAAACAAACAAACAAAAAACCGAAAAAACCACCACCAGAGTGAGTGGGGGGACAGATGAAAGAGGACATCAAAGGGGGACATCCAATGGCCTGAGAGAGCTAGAAGCTTTTTCAGCAATGAGGTGTCACTCCCTGGGACACGTGAGCGTGCCTGGCTTCCACGTGGGGGCATAACTTCAGGAGGCCTCATCTCAACAGCCAGGACTGGGCGCAGGCAGGAGAAAGTCACCCAAAGCATATTGTCTAGAGTAAGATGCTCCTGGGCTCACTTTCCTGAAGGTGAGAAAGCCAAGGGGAGGGTGCAAATTCCATTCCGTACTAGGGCAAGTGCAATTCAGGAAGCTCAGGTGAACGACGGAAGGATGGAGTCGTAGGGGAAGGGGTGGATAAAAGCCCAGGGTCCAGAACTGCTCGCCTGCTGAAAACCCAATGGCGCAGAGCGGAGGGAGGGAGGGGACGCTTCCTCTACCCCCACTCTTTCTAGGTTTTGCATGAGGGCAGGAAAAGGCAAGTTTGTGTTCAATGTCCTTCTTACCATTCCCACCGAGAATAAATAGCTGGTTGCAGCTGACAGAGGGAAACCTCCCGACTCCAGGGCACCGGTTAGACCTTGGTGATCTTTCTCTCTTCTTTGCTTGTCTAAGGCTCTAGCCCTTCTCCACAGAGGAAAACGTATCCCTAATATTTGGTTCCACCAAGCTGAGTGGCCTGCAGTTCTCTCTTTAAAGTCCTCTTTTTGTCTCTCCTGCCTTCTTTTCTGTGATTTCCACTTCTTTGGCCGCATTTCTACTGGAGCCCTCTACATACACTAAATCCTTAGCCACGATGAGTAGGCAGCAAGCCCCTCTTGCACACAACAAAGACTTCTATTTTTTTTCCCTATCTTTTGGGCGACACGATAAAAAATAACCCTGTATTTATGCAAATTGCAAAGTAGCGTGTGATAATGAAAACAAAACAGTGCTGGCCCGCAGCCAAGACATGGCACTGACGGGGGCTCCCGACCATTTGGCTCTTGATTCTTTGGGGAAAGCAGCTGTAGAGAAAGGAGAATGCACAACACCCTCGTCACACGCGCACTCACACGCGCACACCCTCGACCGCACGCATTCCGGTACCGTCACCTCGGAGCCGGCAAGACTTGGGATCCAAATGAAGTTCTGCTGCCTACCGCCACGAGCCCTCCAGCGTCGTCCCCCACGAGCCTCCCTGCCCCCTGCTCCTGATTCCCTTTCAGGAATTTACAAACATTTTCCGCAGATCAATATCTGTATTGATTATTCATTGTGAGTGAGTCGTGTGTCTTTGGTGATCCGGCTCGCAGAGGTAGCAGCCAAAGCCTGCTGCAGGGGAAAAAAAAAAAAAAATAACAGAAGGCGAGAGGGACCCAGCTCTTGCTGGGTCTGCGGCTGTCGGCGACACAGAAAGGAAGAGGAAACGAGGAAGGCACTGGGAAATGAAGGAGTGGACAAGGGTGGAAGAGAAAGAGGGAGCAACAGCAAGAAAAACCAAGTGATGATGGGCACCTGGTTCCAGGGATCTCGGTGGCTTGGAGGAAGCCCCCATCGTGGTCTGCTGCTCCGTGCACCGTGCAGCGGACTCCCTCGGCTCTGGGAGTGAGAAGTGACTCACAGTTTTGGTATCTCCTACGTAAGAGCTTTGGGGGGATTCCTTGGCTTGCTGACAAGGACAGGAAGAAAGCAGCAGCAGCGAGGTAAAACACGATTACTTCCAACTGCCTTGTGGAGGATATGCAGTCGCTTGGTTCGACTGGAACAGCTTGCCGCTCTCTGATGGCACGCGGAGGGAGAATAATTAAAAAGGCCAGCATCACTTGCTAAGTGAGTAAACACAAAGCCGTTCCAAACGTGCTCTCCAGCTAATGAGAAGCTGTAATTTCTTATACTTGAAGGCGAAACAAGACAGTGATGGGGCTTAGTGGAGTGTGTGTTTGCCTGGATATGGAGGTGGGGGTGGTGGTGATGGTGGTGGTGGTGGTGGTGGTGGAGGAGATAAATCGACTAATTGTTGGCAATGTTTAACAAAGGGATTACTGGAAAAGACAGTGAAATGATGACAGGAAAACATCTTGGACCAGAGCCAAAAAAAAAAAAAAAAAAAAAAAATCGAGGCAAATCAAGTCTGCAGCTCAGAGGAAACACCCCTTGCTCCTGTCGGAGGCTCGGACAGGAATTGCCTGGTGTTCCTCAGCCAACATGAAATCCTGTGTGGGCACCAGGGGACAGGACCAGGGACCACCAGGGTGTCCAGAGGAAGGAACCACAGCATTCCAGGTTACACAGCTATGTCATACTTTACGAAAACAAAACAGTAAAAACCAACCTGTCCTTTCCTTTTAATTGGAGCTCCTGCATGCTCAAAATTGCTTCGGTTTATTAAAAGCAACCCCGAAATGTGCCTTCTGATAATAGGAGCTGCCGATTCTCTGTTTGTCTCCAGGAAGCTGCTGCAATGTTACAAAAATATCCTGGAAAAAGGAGGTTGAGGAGATTCGGTTTTCCGTAGACTGGGCTTCTGGCGATGGTGCCAGGTGACTGTCTTTTGCCATTTGAACCACCATGGGGGAGCTAGTCTGGGGTTCCTCTTCTGTTGTCACCCAGCTGTGGCATGGTGAGTCCAAAACCAGTCATGAATAGGACTTTTTTTAATACAGGGTTCCAAACACAAATGACAAAGTGGAGACCCCGAGGAATAAAATGAGCTGGATCTTCTTTTATTTCTGGGTGTTCATTTAACTGAACTATCTGGTTCTCTTTCACCTGAATGGAATTGGGGCTTTTTTTATTGAAAGGATTTCTGAGACTGGAAGGTCAATAGATAAGATGTCCTCCTTCTGACTGGGGTTTTATTCTCCATGTCGCTTTTTAAATTCGGACTCCCCCATACATTGCAAGTTTCTTGAGTAGGAGAAATATATCCTGCAGAAGTATGCCTTGGAAACCCAGAGAAGGAGTAATTAAGCCAGTCGTGGATGACTTGGGCACCTTGCGTTGCATTTCTTCAGCATTCATAGAGACCTGTGTCTATACTCTGTGTGTGTGTGTGTGTGTGTGTGTGTGTGAGTGATGGCATTACATGTAGTGTGTGCTTGCATGTGTGTGGCTCTGTGTCTGTCTCTCTCTCGGAGAGGGAGGAAAAGAGAATAAAGTCGGAGCAGACAGTGTTTGGGCATTTATGCAATTCATGCCGAGAATGCTCAATGCTGCAAGGCAGACAGCCACCCATCCCCGGACTCTGCTGCTCTGGAGGGCCTGTACAGACCTGATCTGAATGTTAAATGCAGGAGATGAAATTAGCATACTAACCAAAGATGTCAACCCCTCCTTGCGATCAGTAAATGGCCGTCTACTCTCTTTAAAGCCGGCATCGCCATGCGCGCCAGCCACTTAACCATGTCCTCTGTCAGGTCCTTTTTTGTGTTTGTTTTTTTGTTTTTGTTTTTTGATGAAAGACTGGAAATTCATTAATGAGGAGGGAAGGAAGGGCTTCAAGGGGCTGTAATGAAAACAAATGATCCTCTTTAAACCTCATGACGGCCAAAGCTGGTGTGTGGGGGGGTTTGCTTTCTGCTCTGGGGCTGGAGAATAGGAAATTCCAGACAACAGACCACTTGACGAGAGCCCAAGAACGCAATGCTTGGGAATTTCTTCTATGTGGCAAACACCAGCCACGGCCAGTACATCTGTATGAATAAAACTTAGGAATGAGCTTTCTCTTCCTAACTCTAAAGTGTGGTCTACCAGATGTCTTTCCACTTCATCACAGGTTATCAAATTTTCTTGACCTTTTGAGGGTTGGAAGAGCCTCTTGGGATCTTTTGGCGAAATGTCTCAGCTTCTGAAGTAATACGAATTTTTCTCTTGGGCTACGCATTAGACTTATCCCAAAGGAAGTAGTTGCTTTTATTTTAATCTCTAGCTAATTTAATCTCTGACTAATTTCTAGTCAGAAAAACTCACAAGGAAGATTTGACTTATACTTCTGCAGAGCCCCATGGTAAAGTAGATGGGATGCTGTTTAAGAGCTAAGAGTCAGGCACTCCCCACCAAGTATCTGGGATGGGAAAAGTTTGTTTCCTTTTTCCATCTTTTAGCCACTTTATCCTTGGACAAACATCTTCTCTTCCATTGTAGTGTACCAGTGGTCTGACATATAACAGGGGTCATACTGTCTGACATACTTCAGGCTGACCCGTGGGCCCCAGCCCGAGGAGGCAAGAAGGAGGAGTGGAACTTGGGATGAACTGGAGACAGAGCCGCTCACTTCTATTTAGGGCTATAAAAGCCACGCTTTGTGTTGCCTAATCTTCCGATGTTCTAAGAGGTGGTAGATATTGGGATGTTTAAATATAACTATATTGATTTTGAAACACTGGTTCCAGTTGTGTGTGTGTCTTAAACAATCCATGGGTCAAACAAAAAATATTTTTGAGGATGGTCTTGGTCCACAGCATGCCACTTTACAATATTTGCTTTAGTTTAAAATACCTAGCACCTATGTATTTTTGTTTTATTTTATTTTACATTATATTTTCCTAATGCCCAGGCTTTCTGTAAAATACTTTATTTTATTTCATTTATAATATATATACATATTAGCAACTATATGGCACACATCAGTAGGAGGGTATATTCTGTTGGACCAAGAGGGAACTGCTAATTTAAAACAATAAAGAGGGGAAGGAAATGGATGTGTGCCTGGCTTACTTGCCTTGTGGTCCCTGGCATCTTAGCAGTCATGGTATAATGCTATCCTTTTCTAAGGTAGTGATCTCCACAAAGATTTTTTTTCTTACAAAGGTCATGGCTGGGAAGATTAAATACCTAGAAAGAAATATGTTTGCATATTTTCATATTTATCTCCACCTGTTGTTACCATTAGTGATTAGTGAGTGCTATGTTAACGTTTAAAAACAATTAATTTTTTTTCCTCTTATTCATCCACAGAACTCTACATCTCAAGTGGGTAAGAAAAAAAAAAAAGATAGAAATCCCCAGAAGAGAGATCCTGCACGTAGTTTGGAAGAAATTTTTCCCATGGCACCTGATATAACTTCAGCAGGAAAAGGCATCTCAGCAGATGGTAACGGGCAGCAAGGAGGCCCCCCTCTCACACAAGTACAATAGGGCCTTCCAATTTCCAAGGTGTTCTTCATGCGTATTATCCTGTTTAATTCTCACTACAACCCAGCAAGGCAGATTGTTTTTAGCTTGTTTTGCATGTGAGGATATGCAGGCTCTGGGAGATGACGAAACTGCATCAAGTTGGAAGCTGGTAAGAGGCATTCACGGATTCTGAGTCTTAGCCTCATGCTGTTTCATTATTCTTCATAGATTCTTCTAGAAATATCCTCTTCAGAACCCCTTACCCAAGGCTTCCTCTATTCTTGATCCTCTCTCATCCTCCCCACCCTTACTCCCTCACTATCAGGTTCTCATTTTGTAATCTGTGTAATTTGTAGTCACGTGCAATTTGAAAATGCTCCTTATACCCTGCCAGCAGTTAAGAACCAGGGCTAAGTTCCAACTGGCAATGGCAGAAACCTTCTTTAACTTTTCACTTTTCTCTTATCTGCCCCCCCACCCCCTTGTTCCCTTGAAAGTCAGGTTTATCCACAGCCAGTCTACATTTGCCCTGTTTTTAGCTCTTTGCTTTCTTTTGCATCTCTAACAAAGCACTCTGCTTCCATTTCTACTCCCCATTAAAACTACCTCAGGTCATTAATGACCAATTCAATTGTACTTTCCTTCCCCATAGTTACAGTCTCTTGACCACTCCCTCCTCCATGACACTCTTGTCTTCTTTCCTATCTGATACGATGCTATGCTAGATTTCCTCCTTTATTTATGGCTGCTTCATCTCAGACTTATTCTTCCTTTTTAATCCCTTTAATATTAGTGTTCCCCCAAGTGGTTTCTGTGGTTCTCCTCTATTCTCAACTGCCTTGTGTAAATGTAAACCCTTGATTTCAATAGTCATCTCTAAACTAATCATCAAATTCTCATCTCCAGCCCAAACCACTCTCCTGAACTCAGCTCTGGATATCTGGCTGCCTGCTGACATCTCCTCAGGCACTCCTAACTCAATACCCTCTAAACTTACCATCATCCCCAAACCTTCTCCTTCTGGATCCCTTTTCCTTCACCCCTCTCACTGCCAACTGCTCTTTGAGTTCTTTCAATACTACTTTCTTAATTTCTCTCTAACCACTCATTTTCACTAAATTCTGACTGCTCCTCTCTTGGTTTATTTTCCCAGTGGCTTTCTAACAGCCCAGCTGTTCTCTTCATTCTCAGACAAGCCCAGCCCACAATGCATTCTCTGTACTACTTCTAACTCATCTATAGAACATGCAAATATGACCATTTTGCTTGCCTCTGTGAACCTTCAGTGGACTCTTTCTAACTTGGTCTTCAAGGCTCCTCATGATCAGGGCCTTGCATCTTCCCAGCCTTCTTTCTTAAAATTCTTCCATTTCTCACCCTATATTATAGGTCACAGAATACTCATAGCTCTTTTATGCCTCTAGGGTTTCATAAAATGTTCCTGCCTCATGGGATGTTCACCTCTACTTTTTTTCATTTGGCCAATTCCTTCACCTTCATGGTTCTGTTCCAGCAAGAAGCAATACACCCCCCCCCACCCCACCCAAGACTCCTACTACAGATTATATGCTGCCACAAGCCCTATACCCCTGCCCGCTGTCCCACAGCATTTACCCCACTGGCATAGTAATCAGGTTCTCCTATTTGACTGTGAGACACTTAAAGGTAGAGACTGTGACTTTTATCCCTGTGTTCCCAGAACCCAGCACAGGTTCTGGTGTATACTGGATGCTTAATATATTAACATTACTGTTTTTATTCTGAGTATCATAAATGCTGTTTTTTTTGAGCTGTCAAATTACAGGTCCCCCAAATAATCAAACTGAGGGAAATACAGCAACCATTTCTCATGGTGGAAAAAAGATTTCCTATGGTGCAGTTCTCACTTACATCAGTTTTTTGACTTCTGTCAGGTGAGAAATGAATGCTGGGGTGGTCTTGAGGTGTGTGCTGATGTGGTAGAAACTTTGGAGTTAATTAGCAGCTTTGGCTAAAGCTGAACTTCCTTTGTGGAGTTCCTGGAGGAAACACTAAATTAACAGTTCAAGGTTACTATTAGAAAAATAGCCTGTTTCCCTTAGGTTATGCCTCAGGGAGCTCGTTGTTCTCCCTGCCATTTCTAAGATGTGTCTACCTTCCTTTGGACCTGGCTACATCTGCCACTTTAAGCCTAGTCTTTCTAACAAAGGTGAAATCCCTTGAGGTCAAGACTGCTGAATGCTTCTTTTGCATATCTTCTAATAGCAGTATATTCTAGTACATTCAGTTAATACTGGTTGAATGGAACAGCAGGAAAAACTGTCTACCATAGAAGGAATAATCAGGATGGCTTTTTAAGTGTCCATCTTCCACGAAGCAGAAAATGGCATGAAATTGTTAGTACCATAGTACCTTGACAGTCCCATGAAATAGCTCATGACATCATTAGGAATCCCTACATTTGCAAATACAGCCAATTCTCATTATTTATGGTAGTTATATTCTATAAAGTCAACAAAGACTTTGAATTAGCAAATGCTGAACTATTGCTCCTAGGAGAAATATAAGGTTATGTTCCTTTGAGCCTCTGGTCATCATATTTTTGTCAAGTGATCAATACATAACCTTGTTTTAAGTGTGTTTTTGTTTAAAGACGTCTTATTTAATATATATTGCTGATCCATTAGTATTGAATTCATGGCCAATATCATTATAACTCTTTGCCTGATTGAAACTTATCTAATACATGTGTTCTGTCTGTAAGTCACAGCATAGCCTGCTCATACTTAATAACACCAGACCACATTTTTGCATTATTGGGAGCCATTTTAAACAGTGAACCAAAAGTACAAAATGTGAAAGATGTAGCACTAAATAAACAGGGAATAAAACACCTGTCTACAGTATGAGAATTGAAACAAGAAGGCAGAGTATTGCTTCATTCAAACTCGGCTGGGAATGTGCCTATTGAAGTACTTATTCTATATTTTTGCCCCTCTGTACATGTCCACAAATGACCATCAAAACACTGTAAGTACTGCTGCATTACAAATAACTTGGGGTAGGTGAATTTTTAAGTACAGAGTCTATGAATGAAGATTCATTGTATTACCAGAATATATGGATAAAACATTAGAGCTTTTGCTTATTTCCAAGTAGAGACGATGATGACCTTGTTCACAGTGCAATTCTGACTTTGGAGTTCATTCTTTAATTTGTACAAAACTTCATTCTGGAAAAGGATCACCTTCACTTTCTTGGAACTCTTCACATAAATAATTGCCACTCACTAGAAGTTGATTGTTGGGGGTGGGATGGTGCATTTTACTCAAAGAAAAAAAACTGGTTTGTTGCAATAAGATGCAAAGGCTGGGCAATCATTTAGACTCCATCTCCAACTAGGTGAAGTCTCCCACTGTCACCTTTACCCGCTTAATGTTTATGATTTAAAGGTGGCCTCAGCAAAATTACAATTGACTCATGTTAGGCTTCTTTGCCTACATGAAGAGGATTTTATATGACTGTCTTAAAAAGCTATTCTTGGGGCGCCTGGATGGCACAGTCGGTTAAGCGTCCGACTTCAGCCCGGTCACGATCTCGCGGTTCGTGAGTTCGAGCCCCGCATCAGGCTCTGGGCTGATGGCTCAGGGCCTCGAGCCTGTTTCCGATTCTGTGTCTCCCTCTCTCTCTGCCCCTCCCCCGTTCATGCTCTGTCTCTCTCTGTCCCAAAAATAAAAATAAAAAACGTTGAAAAAAAAATTAAAAAAAAAAAAAGATATTCTTTGGAGCTAAATCGTGCCCTCTTTGGGTCATATCTTCACTTATATTTCATTTTGCAAACAGCTGCTCAGAAGTTCATTTTTTGCTGTTTTCTTATTGATTTCCATCTGGTTGCAAAGAATGGATGAAGCATTCTAAACACTATGTTACCCTTTCACACAAGCCAGAGGCACAGACACACATGCGTTTTAGAAGTCAGGAAAAGGGGTAAATCAGGAATTTACAGTGTAAAGCATAGCAGGATTTCAGATAACTGGAGTGATGACAAGAGCCTCTGGAACTTCTTACTATGTCTCGCTACAAGTGAGCTTGGAGTTGATTCCAGCAGGATTGGAATCTCTGCTCTGTTATATATGCTTGCTGCCATCCTAATGGAATTGGATAACTGCCTTGAGAGCTGTTCCCTCTTCTGGGAAATGGGGACCATGATACCAACCTCCAGGAATGACTGTGAGGATTAAATGAGATAAATGTATGTAAAGTGCTCAGATTGAAGTCAGGCAGAAAGGTACTATGAAAATGGGAATTGGGAATTGTTGCTTTTGTTATAATTTTGTAGATTCCTAATTAGTCATCTGCCCTGACTTCTAGGTAATACACATTCATGGAAACATGGAAGACTGGAGTTGAAAGAGCTGCTCTAGGGCAACTTCCACAATGCACAGAGGAGAATATTGGCCGAACAGGATTAACTAGTGTAGCATTCCACAGCTAGTTAGGGCAGAATCAAAAGGAAAATGCAGCTCTCTGAAGTCTGGTTCACAACTATTCAGTAAAGTCCTCTATACCCACATTTCCCTTATAGAACCTACTACAACTATCTGTCTGCCACCCCTTCTTCCTTAACCACTAGCCTGATAACCATTGCTCTGTGGACTGGTATCTTCTTTGGCAGAAACACTTGGAGCTAATAGCAACAGCCAAGTAGAGTTTTTAGAACAGGAATCATTGAGCATGATTTCTTCATATTTTTGACTATATCTATATCTATATACACATACACACACATATATATATGTGTATGTATATATATATATATACACATACACACACATATCTATATGTGTATGTATATATATATATATAAAGAAATCATGTATACATGAAGAAATCATATATGTATGTGAAGAAAACATATATATACACATATATCTATGAACAGATAATATTCACAGTATATTAATGTAATACAAAGCAAAAATGATTATAGAATCTACAGAGGGAATGCTCTTTTAAAAAAGCGATCAATTATTTTGTAGTTCTCTGCAGTAATTTGCAAGATGCTCCTTTGGAAGAGCCCCCAGGGAAATGCCACCTGATATTAAAACCCCAAAGCTTATAAATTGTCATGCAATGAAGGGATGAGAGAACTTGGCTGGGCAAACTGGATGGGGCTGGTTAATTTCCACCAAGCCTGTCTTATTGAGTACAAGCATTAAGTGGGATATTCTAGGAGCCAGCAACTTTTTCATTGGTGTGGAGGTGTAGGGTGGGAGATGAGAAAAGGTAGTCCTAGAAACTGTCCACAGTCCACAGTCCAACTGTCCACAGTCCAGAAACTGGGTGGTGCCATGGAATGATGGATTATGTGGCATTCAAGTAAGAAGTTATATCCAGCAGGATGTGGTAATGGTAAAACAAGGCATGATGTGCCCATGAGTCCTGGAGGTGAAGATGAGGTCAGAGTCTGAAGTGTTTGACACAAGAGAGGGGTCTACTATTGTGGAGTTTCAGCTAAGGGAGCTAGGTGCCTCACATGGCTGCAGAAACACCAAGGTACAGCCAGCATCACAAGACAGGGTGGTCCCAACCTCTACTTAGATGAGTTGGGTTATACAAGTAGGTATCAAAATTTGGAAGTAGTTAGGCAGGCCTGGAAAGATTGGGGTATCCTCACCTACTTTATCACATGAGAGATTAATCTTTGCTATGAATTATTCATAATTATCCTTGAGCAAATAACAATATTTCTTAATGGGTATTGGAAGGTTTGCAGGGCAAGATCCTCCTATTTCTCCATGGCTGTGTCCCATTCGTTCTTATTCCTTACTAATTTTGGTCCTCATTCTACTCATATGGAACAGTCTCAAAAGCTTGTATAAGATGTAACTTCATCAGAATATCCTTCTTGCAAAAGGTCTGGAACTGTATTTAATCTGCCAACGTAATAGGTTTAAGTGAAACACAGCTGACTTAACCAGCCTACTAAGCTATTATATTTGCATTTTATATTGAACATGCCCCTAATATTCTCTTTGTTAGATGAAATTGACATTTCCGTATGACAGTAAATGCTAAACTGTGAATTGCTTTCATGAGGGTTTTGCTTCATCATTTCCGTCATTCTATAGGCATAGAAAAAGATCGCAATGAATACATGTAAGCATCCAATACAATGCTTTTTGCGGTATAATCTGTTCAGTGGCTTAATTTGGATTTATGCAACATCTCACTTATCCAGAATTCAACCATTCAGCAGCTACCTTACTTGTCTAGACTTAATTGAAAATAAAAGCCCTATGAAAGACAGGAGAGTTGTTGCTGAAGTGACATGTATGGAAGTCCCTTGAACATTCAGTCTCAGTTGGATGTGAGGTTCCCTCCAAGTACCAAATTTGAATGGTACACTGATGGCCAGGAGTTCTCTCAGGTAATGGCATCATGTAAGGCTGCCCTCCCTTGAAAGGAATAGTTGTGCAAACAGAAGTTCTGTGCAAGCAGAAGCTGAGCTCTTAGATCTTTTTTAGCATGGGATACTCTTGAAGGTATGTTGGCCCCTGTGAGGAACGGGAAATGGCATCAGTGGTCCAATAGAAGTTGGTGCTTCTAGTCTGAAATTCTTGGTTTCTAGGACATCTCTTTAATTCAGCTGCCACTTCTTTAGAGGGTACATGACAATATCTCAATTGAGAAGTGGAAAACAGAGAGCTCCAGGACTTTGCCAGGCAACAGTGCCTGTAATTTAGTAGCAGCCTCCACAGAAATTTCCATACTCCTGGGTGTGGCTAGAGAACTATGGAAAGATCTGTTGGGAGCATACTTAAGTGGCAGATGAAGAAATCTTCTAGAAAAGTATTTGTCTTGAGGAGAAAGTCAGGCATATAAACTTGATTCCAGAAGAAAGACAGGGTAATCAACAGAGTGGTTGGATTTGGGGCACAGGATATCCTCCACTGTGAAGATGATCCCTCACTCCTCCTTGTTCCAGGCCAAAGCCCAGGACACAGGGCTGAGTCTCAGTGACAAGTAAAAAGCTCATGAACTAATTTCACACAGAGCCTTTTTGAGTGGTGGGACATGGGAGCCAGGAGCACGTGGGGATCAAGGCAACTGAGTGCAGAACAAAAGTCAGAAATTTCAACCTGAAGTAGACATGGGTGCTCATGCCTTACCAGTCCCAGCTTCAGCAGATTCCCCTTAGTGACTGGCATAGTGATGTGGGATATCCCCAGCTTTTGCAGTAAGGAAAAGCTGGCAGAAAGCAATGCCACCAGCTGTGGGAATAACTGGAGGAAGTGCTTTTGCCTGGATAGCAGCCATATACCCTCATAGCAGCTGTGACAGTGGCAGCATGAGGCACACTCACAAAGCCTGAAATGCAGCAGAGGACTCAGATCAGGAGGGACAGAGAGGACTTAGGTAAGCACACATGACACCCCCTCCCCACTGGATTACCTCCTAGAACACCTGAGGGAGATTTCGAGTGAAATTAGAGGTTCTACAGTTACAGGTGGATGTTAAAGCCACACACATCAACATGGCCCTAGTTCCACATTGGCATGACCTGAAATTGGCTATCTCAGCAACCTAAGCTTGGAAACTCTGTGAATAAAGGATGGATATCAGAAACATGACATCAGAGGTGGTCAGACTCTATTCTCTTGCACATGAGAACTGATTTAGAAGCTTCTGTCTCCATTTCCCCCAAAGCTAATAGCAGTTACTACATTGTTCTTTAAGTATTGAGTTACTCATCTCTGTCTTCCAGTGAGCTGTAAGCTCATTGAGGGAAGGGACTATATTTTATTCATCTATAGATTCCCACTACTTAACACTGTGTCAAGCAAATAGCAGACACTTAATCAACGTTTTTTGGATGAACAGGTAAATATGTAATAAATCAAGAGATGTCACAAATGAGATGGCTATCTGTGATAAGATTATGTAAATAAATAAGGATCACATCCCACGACATTGTGTGGAAAGAAGTGGAAGACCCCATCCAGAGCTGTCCAAGGCTGAAGTGAGTTCAGGGGAATATGTATAGTCCAAAGCTGGCTACTATATGGGCTCTTTCAGAACCTCCTGGAACCTCAGTAGATTGTAGTCTCTAGTTGTGATCTAAGTGTTCCAAAACAGGTCAACACAACTCTGCAATGATCATACAGGGTGTCAGTTCCATACACAATAATTGAGGGTCTTGATAAAGAAGTAAAAGAGTAAAAAAAGTAAGCGTCCTACAAGATGAGAAGGAATGGCAGATGAACTTGTGCCACCTCTAGATCCATAAACTTCAAAAGGGCTGGGTCCTTGGCCTTGGACCATGATTGGATATGCTCCAGTGGGATATGCACCTCAGGCAACTGTGGGTTGTGGACAGAGCACAAGACCACTCCCCTGCGCTCTTCCCTGAGAATGTAGTGAGAAGATCCACTCCTCTGTGAACAATCCTAGGCTTCTTAGCTAAGGTTTTGTGGTAATGGTTCTGTCTCTTGATTCCAAGCCCTGGAGTCGTGACATTCTAGGAGGGAGCTGATCCACACTGGTCCATGGAGGTCCCAGAAGTTAAGTGTCCTGAATACCAGGGCCTGATGGTGATCACTGGGCTCTGGCTTCTTCCTCACAGCCAGGGGCTTGGAGGAAGGAAGCTTAACCAAAGAAGGACTCTTAAGTCATAGATTTAGGAGTCTGTATTTCCAAGCAGGATTTCTCTACAGCTACATTTGGAGCTGTGAGCACAGGGCTCAGGAGTCTGGAGGCAAATGGATTAGGAATACAGAAATCAGGCTGACTGGCTCCTTAAGTAGCCAGCTGGGTCACTACCACCCATTGAGCCCTGAGATGCTGTGGGTGGTGGAAGGCTTTAGCAGCTTGATTATGCTTCCAACAGCAGGGTGGGGAGGGTGTTTCCTTGCTATACAGATCTCTTGATTAATCTATACTTACTGTTAATTCTACCTTATTTATTTAAGAGAGAGAGCCAGAGAGCAAGAGAGCCATAACAACACATTTTCCTTTTAAATGCTTGTATTTTTATAAGTGCATTTATTTATGTATTTATGTATTTATTTATTTGTAATCTCTATGCTCATCATGGGGCTGGAACTCATGACCTCTAAGTCGACCAGGAGTCCCTAAATGCTTGTATTTTAAAACAAATCTATATACTCTTTAGGTATGACATTCTTAAAATAAGTATCATGAGGTATACTTTTCCACTCTTAGAACTTGCAATGCCTTCAGTTCCTGGAAATTAGGATTTACACAAACCAGTAATTTTAAAATGGTTCCTTTGTTCTTGACTGGTTAAGAAACTGATGGTTATACACATTTTCATAATATAATATTTAACATTTTCAGAACGGAAAAATCCCTCTATACTAAATTGACATATATGCATATTTGCTTCAAGTTTTCCATTCACAAAGTGTGAGTGTGTGTGTGCATGTATATATTTGTATTTAATAGTCTGTGTATATATGTACATGTGTGTTTGTGTGTGTGCACACATATGTATGTATACTGTGTATATGATGTGTCTGTGTGTATATTTATATGTGGAGTATGTGTGTGTGTGTGTGTTGTGGGTCAAGGGAGGCTATAATAGGCATCTTCTCCATGTGGAGTATACACTAGAATGAAGTGTCTGCTTTTTTGGATCATTTAAGGGCAGAAATCTTGCATTTCATCCTTACATTGAAACGAAGTTTTTAAAAAAAAAAAAAAACTGAAAACTACATTTTTATTCCAAAAGATTGAGTAGAATAGTACTTTAAAAATAATTTTAGTGATTTAAATTGAAGGCCCTGAAAAAATTCCCATCCATGGTTCGAATCTATTTTCTGGCCCAGAGCCCAAAGCGTTTCATTAGATTGAGAATTGGATACAATTTCATTTACTTTAAACTTTTGCTGCTCAGGATTTTGTTCTTCAGAGATGAGCTAACAAGTGTCGATGGCCATGTTGGCCTCAATAATAGATCTCCTTTTCTTGAATGATATATTTTAGTTGCATTATTATCATTTCAAGATGGCCTTGTGCTTACAGACACATTCTCAGTGAACATAACAAGAATGCTGATATTTCCTCTATGTGGTTTGCCTCTTCAGTTAGTAACTTTGTTTGGAGAAAACATCCTCAACTTATTTTCCACAAAGCCATTTGCAAAAGAGAGGTTATCTAAAGAATTCTCTTCCATATTTTATTCTTGTTATTACTAAAGAAGATTTTGTCCTATAAACCATACTGAGATTTTTAAAACCGTTTTAAGCAGTAATTAATGAAAATTTTGTTGTCTTTTCAACAAACAGAACTGACATATCAGTAAGAAATAGATAACCCACAGAAAAATGGGCAGATGACTGGAATAGTGACTTCACACACAAAAGGAAATCCAAATGGCCAATCAGTGCTCAGATTCACTGGAATTAAGGAAACGCAAAATAAACTACAATGAGAGACACCTCCTACACCCCCCTGGCTTGGCAAACATTGAAGTCTGACAATAACAAGTGTTGGCATGGGTGCAAAGAACAACGGATACTCATGCATTGCTGGTGGGATTGTAAAGACACTAGTATGGAAAATAGTTTTGCGTTAATTAGTAAAGCTGAAGAGATGCACTCCCCCTGACATCCCCCTAAAATCTCTTCCAATAACTTTAAAAAGTGGCTCCCAAAGTACGGTCCCTATTCTCAGCTGGTAGCATCAGCATCACCTGGGAACTTCTTAGAAATATAAACTCTCAAATGTAACCCCAGTTCCACTGAATCAGACACCTGAGGGTGGAGCCTTGTCATTTGTGAACCATCTGGGTGATGATCATGAGCTTTCAAGTAGAAGAAGCACCACCTGAGAGAAATTTGTGAGCATGGGTACAGGATACATGATAAAAATGTTCACAGTAGCAACCACGTATCCATCAACAGGAACACGGTCCCTTCTATTTACACAATGGAATATTACACTAAAATACATGCATTAAAAATGAATGCATTCCATGGATAAAACTTATGGTCAGTCATTATATTCAAGAAAAGAAGCAAAACACAAATGAAAAAAAAAAAACCCTGAAGAGAAGAAAGGAATTGATTACCATAAAATCCAGGAAAATGCTTATCAGTATTGGAGAAGGAAGGAAGTATGATCAAGAAGGAGCTTGCAGTGGAGCTGGAGTTTATGAGCGGCTGACAATATTCCCTGTTTTGACCTGGTAGGTGATTACATCTTCCTTGACTTTATGATTATACTATAAACTGTATATATGTGCTTTTCCAAACATATATTGCCTTTTACAGTGGAAATAAATTTTTGTGTCTATCAAAGCTTTCAACGTTGCTACCAAAATCAAATTTAACCAAATTATAACCTGCCTACCTTTGTAAGTCTGCTTGATTCTCCTTCCCATTATAAGAAGCTCCTCCATAACATTACTACTTCTGTTCTTTTTTTTTTTTTTATGTCTTCTTGCAGGGGAAAGAGAGTTGGGGACAGACTCGAAGATGACTATCAGCCAGAGTCATTATCCCTTCTTCTCCCTAAATGTGTAGACGAGTTGAAAAGCAACCAGGCTTCTCAGTAAGCGAGGTTAATATCACCCACGTGATCCAAGGTTCTGCTCCCACTTTTGACTTTGTTGTTTATTTGCAAACTTCTTTAGTGATTGCTGTTAGACTGGATTCATGCACAGTTAGAAGGGAAGAAATAACACATTAGTTCTTCCAAATATAATAGTGATGGTACAGACGCTGGTTGGATCATACTTGAATTGTCTGAGTTTAAAGCAGAAGGTACTTCTCAAACAATTTTAAAGTCAGGTCCTTATTTTTCTTTTGTTTCAATTAAGACAGGTGTACCTTGGCCACAGGTCTACGGTGATTGAATTGATAGCTATTTATCCTACATGGATAATATCATTCTTTTGTCAATAGTAATGATCATGTGAGTATGAACACATAAAAAATATAGCTATATATTATGATACAACATACCAAGCACAGTGTTTGTACAGAGTAGGTGCTCAGTGAACACTCAACTGATATAAGCAGATCTGTCATATAAATATATGTCTAAAATACAAGTATTATTATAAATTGTTATATAATTTAGCTAATTTTTCTGGTGTGTGTATTTACTTTATTATTATGTGAATATTTGTATATGGCATAAAATTAGCCATTTTTGGTGTGCATTTCAGTGGCATTAATTATATTCACAATGCAACCATCTAGCCACCCGGTTTTCACCCTCATTTTAATGCCTTTGTTAGAATCGACTTTGGTATTTCAAATTGCTTTCTTAAAACTTCCTCTAATACAGCCGCTCCCTCTTCCTACACTTTATCTTTTGCCATCTTGTGCCAGGTCCTTGGTCTCTTTTACAGCCTGAATCATGTGTGTTATCTCATATGTGGGGGACCAGATTTCTGTGTCAAGAGGACTTTCTTTCCTTCTTCAGCTCAGCTTACAGTTGTCCAATAGTAGAAGCTGTTACATTAAACTATGGAGAATTAAAACAAAAAAAATCCATTCTTACTAGGAAAAATGTAGACTCTTGGTTTCAGAATCCTTTGGGACCCATCATGGGTTATCTAAAGTACCAAAAATTATTAGCCTGATGTCTTAGTGGAAGTACTCAGGATATTAATTCACCAGTTGTATATAATTCCCAAGTTAGTCTCTCGTGCCAAACAGTGACTAATTAAGCTGTGGATAATGTCATGCTGCAAGAGTGATAAAACAATAATGATGGTGATAATAACAATAGCTAACACTGAGTGCTGTTAGGTGCCAAGCATGGTTCTAAGGCTGTTATGTGCATTACTTTAGGTAGTCATCATAATAATCCTATGGCATATATGCAGTTGTTAGCCTATTTTATAGATGAAGAAACCAAGACTCAGAGAGGCAAATTATATGTACAAAGGTTATAGGATCTGAACCCAAGCAGATGGATCTCAGAGCCTTGCTCTTAGTCACCGTACTGTGACCCCTATTTAAGAGTAGAACCCAAGAGAATGCTTAATTCTCATGTCCCTTGTAGGAGGCTAGTTACTGCAGGTGAAAACATACAAAAATAGATTAGGAACAAGAATAACACACACAGACACACACAGACACACACACACACACACACACACACACACACACACTCCTTTATTTCTTTGGGGGGTCAGTGAGAGGTGGAGCACAGAGCTGGGAGAATTAGCCTGTTAGTAATCAGCTAATAATAAGTGCTAAAAGAAAGGCATTTGGAGAAAAATATCATGGCAGTTTAGTTGGGAGGAGATTATTTTTAGCTACTACGCAGGAAGGAGTTGAGTATACAATGTAGAGCCATCAAAGATTTTTCGGCACAAAAGGAATATAATGAAAGCTATGCTTTTAGGAAAATAAAACTGCCATCAGTGACTATTATGGCCTGGAAGGAGAAAAGACTCAAGGTGGAAAGGCCAATTTAGAGGTGTCTATAGGAACCCACAGGACAGGTAGGGAGGGCTGGAATGAGGGCAGTGACCATAGACATGGAGAGGTGGGGAAAGGCTCTACAGAGGAAGGCCAGAGCAATGGATATGAAGGGTCAAGTTGACTACAAGATTCCAATCAGGATGAGTGACAGAATGGGGTCTCTTTAAGAGAAACAGAAAAGATGGGAGAAGAGCACCTGGGAGGAAAGTGCAGGTACAGAATTTGAAGCTCTGGTAAGATGCATAGGGACACTGTTGAGGAATTTAACTTTGAGAGGGAAGTTGGAGTGGGGACCTAGAGTTACTGCAGAGCCTGGAGACTGAAAATCATGGAAATGGAGGAGAATGTCAAGGGAAAATATAGAGTCAAATCAAGAGTGTTAAAGACAGAATCTTCGGGAACATTTACATTTAGAGGCAATAAGTAGTCAGAAAAGATAAAGTTAGACAGATAGGAAAAGTTGAGAGCAGCAAAGCCAAGGGAGGAGAACATGTGGAGAGCGAGGGGGTAAGAGACAAGATGAAAGGTCATGGAAGGCACAACAAAAGATGAGGCATTGGGTTTGGCAATAGAGACTTGCAAGGAAGCAGCTTCACTTGAGTGGTGGGGGAGAGGGGGGTTTAGGGGATGAGTGTCTGGTGAGAAAGGGGAGGGTGCAGCAAGTGTAGACACACCTCCCAAGAGGTTTGTTGATGAGGCAGACATGAGTATAGTTCAAAGGAGTAGAAGGATCAGGGGAAAGTTTGGTTTAGGAAAAAAGAGCCAAGGTTCAGGGACTAAGTGGAAGAATCCCAGTGGAGCAGAGAGAAAGAAAATGTGTGAGAGGGGGCAGGGAGAGAGAGAGAGAGAGAGAGAGAGAGAGATAACTGACACAACCAGAGTAGGCAGGCAGAAAGCAAGTGAGAGCCCAAAGAGAGGGAGGCATTGGGCAGGAGAAGGGCCTTTCTTCGTCCAACACTTAAAGAAAGGAGGGGAAGATGAAGAAAGCTGTTGATGTGAGATATGAGAGGGAGAGCACTTTGGGAGCTCATGGAGGAAGGCCAACCAGAAAAAAGTGAGAGCGTGGGCAGCATAGAAGTACTTGATCAAAGTGCAACAGGGTTGCAATAAACACAGAGAGAAGTATGGCATGTAGTCAACAGAGGAAGGACAGTGAAAGATACTGGGGAATGAGGGCCACCTGATGTTGGATAACACGTATGGTGGAGCAACTACATCAGTTCTATGACTTTTTAAAAACTGGATTGTTTAGGCAGGGAGCAGATATGTAGGAGCAGCAGATGGTGGAATTCACTCTGGCTTGGGAGTTAGAATAGGAGTCCAACCGAGGCACAAAGGGTCAAAGTCACTAAGGAGTAGACAGAAAGGCTAGAGGACTGAGAGAAAAACATTGCCTGGTATGGTGGCACTGGAGGATCAGCTCCCCTTTGAAGATAACATGCTCTGGAAGCACAGCTGACTGACAGCCTCCAGTAGTCTCAGCACTTGTGGATTCACTCAGTATTCATCCCAGGCCAGGCTGCTTCCAGGCTGCACCAGTAAGGACTAAAGCCAGAGAAGGGACTAAATTTGGCCATCTTTCCCCATGTGGGACTCCTCTCATAATTAAGTGTGCTCAGGGACTCCGTTGGCTTGGTTGAGATTTTTCTCTGACTTTTTTCTGGAGTCTGAAGCTCTTCCTACCCAAACCCTCCTGCCCTCTCTCCTTCTTAGTTATTAGAACTGCCTGCCAATTTGAAGACTCTCCCAACCTGAATCCCTCTCACTTTTTGCCTCCCAAGCATTTCCCCCAATAAATCTCTCACATGTATAATTCTATTTTTGCTTCTGCTGTTTTGGAAGTCCTGAAGGGACACACTTGGGCTTGCTATTATTAGTGGAGGACCTAGTGATTGGAAGATGTAGGCAATGAGGTGATTGCAAAGATGTGAAGATTTTGTTTACGCAATTCCTTTTTGAATTATAGACTCACAGGAAGATGCAAAAATAGTACAGAGATTTCCCCTATACCCTTCACTCTGCTTTCTCCAGTGGTAACATCTTATATAATTAAAACCAAGAAATTGATATTGATATAATATTGTTAACAAGTTCATATGATTTGGGGTAATCTGTTTCTCATTATGTTCCTGTCCACATCATAAATATATTGATCTCATCTTCTTTGCAAAAGGCCACTTAAATAACAGTTCCCTCCAAGTCAACCAGCTCTATAACCGCAAGGTTTGTAAGATGCATAAATAAAGCCATTAGGTGGAGGGAAAAATAGAAAATGACATATGTCTATTGAGGAGAGGGCTCCCCATCCACCCAAACATCCATCCATCCATCCATCCATCCATCCATCCATCCATCCATCCTTCCATCCATGTTTGCTAAGCTTTTCCTAAGTATCAGGACCTATATTGTGCATCTACTGCATTAGAATACTGATATCAAAATGGTAGAAGCAGCTACCACACCTGTGCTTGAATTAAGATGCAGTGAGGAACCCAGATATATAGTTGTTTTGTGGGCAAAGGATATCCAGATTGGCCCTGTGATCATTTTTACCTAGGCAGTAATTCAACTGGTAGCAACCGTATGCTCAACAGCCAGGATCATGCCTTTTTATGAGTCACTGTAAAGCACCAAGTGCATTGACATATACTTCATAAATGCTAAATAATAACAAGTCAGTGAACCTAGAAGTATTGGATTCAGTATTCGAGACATTAAATCCAAGTTATTCTGTTCTAGAAGCAAGGCAAACAAATAAATCAGCCCCAAATCAAATAAAGCCCACATCCATCCCCGGCCAGCAGTGGGTGTTGTCTGGAATGCACTTTAGGGGCGAGTGGCTCTCTCATGAAGGGGCACTTGTTAATACTTTACCTGACATATCATATACAGTGCCTTGCCTGTGATTTGGGAGGAGAGTTTAATATCTGACCCACAGAAGACAATAGCAACACTATGTTCTTAAAGCTCCACTCCCCTTTATTTGATACCAGAAAATACTATCTGCTGAAGCTCTTGAGAAGAGCAACAGTCACCCACTGAGCAATTAGACTGATCCTGGTGGGAAGTCTCTGTAGGCAGTACTGGGAGACTCTGTATGTATTTCAAAGCCAGGATTTAGTTTTCCTTTAAGATAGAAGTCTCTTCATGGCTGCCTGTGACTCCTTGAGGGTTTAGGCACACACTATAGAAAGCATGAAATGCTATGGATGCTATACTGGCAACCGAACTAGCCTACAGCACAGTTGAATGCTTTTCTGATTCACAGGCCAGAGCCTTGAGCAGCGTCTGGTTCTGTCTGATTTGGGATCTCTGGACACAGGCCCTTCTGTCTAGAAGTCTGCCATCTTGGTTCCACATGCAAACATGATTTACCTCCATCCACATCCCTTTAGTCATTTCATAGTGATGACATCCTTGGGAGCAAAGCCCAACCTTCCACAGCAAAAGATTGACGGCAAAGCCATTGTAAAATGAAGAGGTAATAACTATGACATCTCCAGGAGTGATACACACCAATGAGATCACATTTTGAATGGAGTCTAGAGGAGATTCTATCCTTTAACAGTCATTTCCAAAAGGATTTTACTCTCATTCAATTGCAGCCAAGGGGAAGGGAGCCAAAGACACCTAGATTTAGCCAACAAAGTGTTGAGGGGAGGAATGAGCCAAAGGGGAAGGTACAGAGCCAAGAAACAAAAAGTAAAAAAAAAAACCCATCAGAAGCCGACTTTGTTAATTCTTATATGAATACAAGTGATTTCAGCCAGTTGCTGTTTGGCCCAGACCTAACTCATCATATCTCACAGAACTAAATGTACACGTAGATAAAATGATGCTTACAGTGGTTAGAACAGTGGTTCTCAAATGTTACTGTGCATCCAGTTTACCTGGGGAGTTTGTTAAAAAGGCAGATTTCTGTTCTTCAGCCTCAGAGATTCTGACTTGGTAGGTCTGGGACGGGACTTGAAAAATGTACATTTTTAGCATGTACTCCAGTGATAGAAGCAGATGTATTGCCCATAATATATTAGAAGTCATTGCTTTAAATCACTGCCTTTCAATCTTTCTGAAGATGTGATATTAAGAAGTTTATAGAAATATTTTCCAAGTAATCCAGCCCAAACCTTTCATTTTGCAGATGAAGAAATTGAAGGCTTTGGTAACCTTCTCAAGGTCGCTAACCCAGTTAAAGGTGGAAAGTCGGGACTAGAAGCAAAGTCTAGTCACTGTGCCTTTTGCATTTACTATACTGTTTGGTTTGCATTTACTATACCTTCTCTCCTTCAAGTCCTGTTGGATATACATGCACATAAGTAGAAATGAGAATGTGTGGATTAGTTTTTAAATTGTTATATTCTTTGAAGCAATTGGTGAGAACTTCAGTGTTGCCAAAGCAAACATTCAGAAGGAAATGGTACTTACCCTCTCCTATATCAATGGTGAAAAAGACGATAGAAGGAACTCAAAGTTGTCCTCTGAACAATCACAGTGTCTGGGTCCCCCCAGCTCAGTGCCTGGGATAAAACAAAAAAGTAAACAGTTGCAAGAAATTGTATTTATTTCTGATGCTGCATTAAAATAACAAGTACTTTGCATAAGCTTTATTAGAATCAAATCAGATTTAAGTGTCATAATTATGCTCTTCATCTTTAGGTTAATTTCTCACTTTACTTTGTGAGGCCATGGTCAATTTAAGCTGAAGGGTTTTGTGTCTCAGCAAATTCCAGAGCTGTCTTGACAAGGATCACTGGAAGACTAGTCCATAGTAGTTAGAGGACCCTCTGATATGGACTACAGGGCTCTGAGAACTTCACACTCACTTGTTTTCTGGTTCTTCTCTTTATATATGAAGGTGAAAACTGAGTACATCCTCATTTCAAATGAATGGGGAATCAGAGAAGTTATTCCAAGAACAGTGACTAGATCTTCACAATTTAAGAGGGTGCCCTCATTCATGGGCTCATTCATTCATTCATTCAATATTTATGAAGACCTTTTATATCCCAGGCAGTTGTTCTGCTCAGTAGCTTATTGACTAGAAGGAGGGCAATGTGAAGCCTACTGACTAGAAGGTGGGTAAATATTGATTACCTACCAGTTACTCAAGTCATTTTTAAAAAAATGTTTATTTATTTATTTTGAGAGAGAGAAAGCACAAGCATGAGTGGGGGGAGGAGCAGAAATGGAGAGAGAGAATCCCAAGCAGGCTCCACACTGTCAGCACAGACCCCAACTAAGGAACTGTGAGATCATGACCCGAGCCAAAATTGAGAGTTGAACGCTTAATGGATTGAGCCACCCAGGTGCCCTCATCATTTAATAGAAAGGTCATGTGTTGTGGAAGCAAGAGCACTCAACTGGGAGTCAAAAGATCCAGTTCAAATTTGGGGCCATTTTGACAACAGCAGAGTTTCTAAACTTCAACAATGCTGATACTGGGAGCCAAATAATTCCTTGCTGTGGGGAGAGCTATCCTGAACATGATAGGATGTACCTTGTAGGATGTCATTAAGTGACTCCTACTTGTGGCAATCAGACATGTCTCTAGATATTGACATTGCCAAATGTCCCCTTTGGGGGAGGCAAAATTGTCCCCAGTTGAGAATCACTGGTTATAGTAATAGCGACTAGTTTTGAGCACCTATTAGGGCATTGTGGTAGGGCTTTATATACACCACATTCAGTCTTGAAACTAGCATTTCAAAGTAAGCAATACTATCCCCACTTTACACGTGGTGAAATTGAAGTCCACAGATGTTAAGGAAACTGCACAATATTATACAACATGTAAGTGTTAGAGATGTGAACCCAGAACTTTGAACCTTAAGGTTCATGTTCATTGTTCCCTACTTTTTTCTTTTAAACCATTTTACCCATTCAAAAAAGTAAAGAGAATAATCTAATAAATATCTATGTACTTAGTACTCTGAATTTAACAAATGCTATTATTTTTTGTCATAGTTGCTTTATATCTTTTTTTGGCAATAAAGCGTTACAAAGATGAATCTCCCTTTTAGACTTTTTCACTCCTGTTCTTCTCACTTCCTTTCCCAAAATAACAATTCTATTGAACCATAGCCTCCCTGGGAAAGACTATACTCCTTTTCCATGGATGTGTGTTCACAAGCCACATACAACACTCCAAAAAATGCACAGAAAGGGTACACCTTCTTCTGCAATTTGCTTTCTTTACTCAACATTATGTTTTATGGTTCTAATAATTTTATTTAATAACAGTATTAGAGGGAATAGGCCACTATGTTTTCAACCATTTGCCCCTTGGTGGGCATTTAGATTGTCTCCCACTGTTTGCTATTCCAAGTTGCACGGCCTGGAGCCCAAGTGTGTGTGTGTGTGTGTGTGTGTGTGTGTGTGTGTGTGTGTGTGAGTTTCTTCAGGATGCACATCTCAAAATGGGATTGCTGGGTCGCAGGCTGTGCACATCTTCAACTTTATTAAATATTGCCAAATCGTTTTACAAAATGATTGCACTAAATTACACCCCCTCCAACAGACTGTAAGAGTTTTCATTTCTTTACATCCCTGCCAATGCTCAGTATTTTCAAACTTTATGTTTGCCAGCCTGATTAGGGCGAAATAGCATATAATTATTATTTCAAAACCTTGTGTTCTTAACCACTCCTCTTACTGTCTACGCTGCTGGAAGCTTCAGTTATGTAAAATGGAGAAAATACCTTTGCCTATTTGTACGAGTAGTAATGAGTTCTTCTGGTGCAGTGTGCGAATGTGGTTTTTTTTTAAGTATCAAGTGCCATTTTTGTACATTGCTGGTGGTAGGAGAGAATATTTGTAGTTTCTCTAGCAGACAGTTTGACATAATGTATCAAAATTTCAAACGCACATATATTTTCTTTTAACTTAAAAAAAACCTAAAAATTTCACAAAAATAGTGAGAATATCATAGAATTCCTGTGACCCAGATTGTCAAAATGTTAATGTTTTATAATATTTGCATTATAGTTCTCAATCTCTTTCTCCCTGTCATCTCTCCTCCTTCTTTCTTTCTTTCTTTCTATATATATATCTATACACATCTATTTGTAAATGCACACACACATATATTTTATTTCCAAGAGTTTACTTCTGAAAATTTTCTACAAAGACATTCCATTATTTAACCATTGAAAAGTTGTCAAAATCTGAAAATGAACAGCAACATAATACTATTATATAACCCACATATCTTATTCAAATTTTATGTACACTCCAACAAATGTCCTTCATAGTAAAAAATTTTCTTCCTCTTCCAGGATCCAATGTAAAGTCATTTGTTATACTTAGTTGTCATGTCTCTTTAGGCTCACTGGAGATGGACTAATTCTTTGGTCTTTTTTATTTTCAGGATATTTTTGAAAAGTATTGATCAGTTGTTTTGTAGAATACCCCTCATTTTTGGTTTATCTAATGTTTTCTCATAATTAGATAGAGGGTATGCATTTTTGGGAAAAATACCACAGAAGTAATGTTGTATCCTTCCTCAGTGTATCACAGAAGTACTCAATTGCAGTCAGTTTGCCCAATTACTGGTGATGTTATTTTGATCACTTGGTTATGGTGGTACCTGCCAAGTTACTGTTTTTTCCTTTAAATTTTGTTTAATGTTTATTTATTTTTACTCCCATGTGAGTTGGGGAGGGGCAAAGAGAGGGGGAGACACAGAATCCAAGGCAGGCCTCAGCCTCCAAGCTGTTAGCAAAGAGCCCAATGTGGGGCTCCAACCCATGAACTGTTGAGATCACAACCTGAGCTAAAGTCAGACGCTCAACTTACTGAGCCACCCAGGCACCCCGCTGTTTTTCCCTTTGTAATTATCTTTTGGGGAGATATTTTGTGACTATGAATATATTCAATTTCTATCAGGATGGACTCCTAGATTTAATAAGTTGATTTGGGTTACTAACCTTATTGTGATGACCAAAGTATTTCATGCTTGGTCAGCGAACACTCATTCAAGCCTACTTCTGTGTTCTTTTGATACATCCCCATTATTCTTTGGCACTTCGCCACTTTCTGTCACTGTAAGATGCCCCACGTTCATCTCATGCCCACCCAGATCTTGTCCTGGAACTGACCATTTTCTAAGGAGTCCTGGTTCCTTTGAGTGGAGAATGGTATTTAGAAACCAAGATATGGGTGCTAGGTGTGTTCTTTGTTATGGGTGCACTTAACTTTGAACCTAGTGATTTCTCCTTCAGAAATTTTTGCTACAGGTATAAAATCATTAATTGCAGCATTATACAGAATAGCAAAAGGCTAGATATGACCTAGAGGTTCATCAATAGGGTTAAATAAACTATTTAAGTCCATATAATTGAATACTATGCATCCATAAAAGATTGAGAAATTATTTCCAACATAGATTAAATTAAAAAAATCAATTTATAGAACTATGTATCCAGTATGTTACTATTTATGTACCAAAAGGGGAATATATATACACGTACACACATATATTATATATGTATATGTGCTTGCTGATAAATACATAAAATAGCTCTGGAAAAGCTTACAAAATCCAAAAACATTGACTGTGGATAAAAGAACTGAGCATTTGGGTAATAGAGGGAAAAAGACTTTCATTATAAACTTTCTCGTACCATTCAAATTTGGGACCATATGAAGCATTAAAAATACTATAAAATATAAAACAATGCGTCACTTTAATGCAAAGTATTTATTCCTGTCTCAAATATCAAAAGAGGAAATCTGTTTTCTGGGACAATAGTCTAGCTAAAAACACAAGTGCAACTGGATAATTATCTCTCAGTATCAATAAAAACAGTCGTATACTTTTATGATTTAACTTCTCCATCTGTGATATGGGTGTAATATTTTTATCCTAGAAGCCAGACCAAAGGCAGGTGAAGCAAGAGTGAAAACAAAGTGCCAAGCTACTAGGACGGCTAGTCATCACATATTCTCACATTTACGGGATTTTAAGAAACATTTGTTGAATAAAAGAATGGATGGATAAAGTTATAAGAGAAGGAAGGCGGGAGGAGAATTATATTTCACCACTTGAGTTTCAGGAAAAGAACTTTTAAAAGCACAGGAATACATTAAGGAGCAGTCCTAAGGTAGATAATCTTTAATGCATTGTTGTTACTCACTACTTTAGTGATGCCCCAGGCAGGCCACACAGCCCACCAGTCAGGGAGTCAGGGAGCTGTGTCCATAGTCTGGCTCTGCCACACTAGCCCTGTGACCTGGGGCAACTTATTTAACCAATTTGTGCCCTGTTTCCTATCCTGTAAAATGGGACTTCTAGGGTAGCTGTGAGGATTACATGAGTTATTACATGTAAAGCATTTAAAACTGTGCTGACTCATGGTAATCACTCAAAAAATGTAAGCTATAATTTGTTTTTATCTTTATTTTATTATGGTAATACCACTTAATATGAGATCTACTCTCTTGGCAAAATTTTACATGTACAATACAGTACTGTTAGCTAGAGTCACAAAGTGGTACGGCAGATCTCTAAAACTTATTCATCTTTTTTTTTAAATTTTTATTTGTTTTTGAGAGAGACAGAGACAGAGACAGAGAGAGAAAGAGCACAAGTGGGGGAAGGGCAGAGAGAGAGGGAGACAAAGAACCTGAAGCAGGCTCTGGGCTCTGAACTGTCAGCATAGAGCCTGACGCAGAAGCCCAAACTCACAAGCTGTGAGATCATGACCTGAGTTGAAGTTGGATGCTTAACCGACTGAGCCCCTAGAATTTATCCATCTTGTATGAGTGAAACTTTACATCTGCTGACATGCAAGTCCTTGTGGCAACTCCCTTTGTATTTTCTGCTCTTATGAGTGTGATTATCTTAGATATCTCATATAAGTGGCATCATGCAGTATGTGTGCTTCTGTGACTGGCTTATTTCACTTAGCATAATGTCTTCTAGATTCATCCATGCTGCTGCATGTTGCAGAATTTCATTTTTAAGGCTAAATGATGTTCCACTGTGTGTATGAACCACATTTTTTTCACTCATCCATAAAAGGACATTTAGTTTGTTTCCATATCTTGCCAATTGTGAATAGTGCTGCAATGAACACAGGGGTGCTGATATATTTTCAGGATCCTGATTTCAATTCTTTGGAGTAAATATCCAGAAGGACTGCTAGGTCAAATGGCACCTATTTTTAATTTTTTGGAGAAACCAGTCTGCTGTTTTTCCATAAGGGCTGCAACATTTTACATTCCCACCAACAGCACACAGCTTTTCCAGTTTCTCTACATCTTCCCCGGCACTTATGGCTCAAGTTATAATTCTTAGCATCATGAAACTTTAGAAAGAGAAGAGTCCTCAGAGTATCTAATTCATGTCTCTTATTTTATAGGTTATGAAATACATAAAAATGGGGCTCAAGGAGAAAAAGTGGTGGTCCAAGTTTGCATAATTAACCAGAGCAGATTCAACCCTAGAACATCAGTGGTGGGATTGTCAGCTGTGTTAGACTGTAAATAACCACAGATTCCTCATAGCCCCTCCCATCAAGGGGACAGGCCTATTTCCCCACTCCTTGAATGTAGTGTGAGATCTGAGCCTCAGCCTCAAGTGGTCCTGCAGTTTCTGATCTGACTCTCTTGGACACTGCTACTCGGTGACAAGGCTTGGGCTAGCCTGTGGGAAGATGAGAGACCACATGGAGTGCAGACAAGAAGTCCCAGTGGAGGCTGTCCTAGACCACCAACCAGCTGGCCAACTGCCAGGCACATGAGTGAGATGCCCCCTCCCCAGATCATCCAACTCCAGCCAAGCCACCAGCAGACCACAAAAATCAATTGAGTTGGTCTAGACCAACAGAGCTGCCCTAGCTGTCCAGCCATCCTAACCATCCCATGGAACTGTGAGCTAAATAATAAATATTTGATGTTTTAAGCCACTAACTTTTGGAGTGGTGCTTTATACAGCAAAAACTGATAATGAACCCAGGCCTCTCTTCAATAACACCACATTTATAATTCATCTCTAGGATGTATGGATGACCAACTATGCACCAAGATTAACTATCTCTCCCACCCGTGTGTTGCCTGGTCCATGTCCCTTTATTCTCAGGAACACCCCTGGCCTCTGGGTGGGATCCTACCAAGGGCCCGGGGGTGGGGGGAAGATCCATGTCTCCCAGGGTCATAGACCATAATTCTCCAGCAGCAGCAAGAGGGATTGGCACAGGACCCAGGGAAGTGCTGTCTGTAGAGCCTCCTTACCCTACTTCTTCCTTTGCAGTCTCTAGACTGCTGTGCAAATATGTTGGTAAGTTATTCCTGTATGAATAAAAGGGAGGGGGCTTAGCTAGTACTGGCTGGGAGGTGCTTGGCAAACAGAGGAGAACATCCTATAAAAATGAAAGCCAGAGAGTGATTTTCTGGAGTCATAGGATTCCAAACTTTCATTTTTCACCCTCCTTTTCTCCCTTTTACTTGGCTTTCACTAACAGTACACCCTCCCCCACCTCCCCAGCCCCTCAAGGTGCCTATTTCCATTTCCAGAAATCAACTAAGGGTTTCCTGGTTCCCATTAAATTTCATGCCTATATCCTTCACCCATTCTCTGTCTCTCCAACTTTAGGCATTTTTTTTCATTTTTCTCCTTTAAGACTTTCATCCTAACTGCTCTCATAGTTGAAAAAACACTAGACTTCTGATTAAAGTCCCAAGATTCTTCTAATCACAATCTTACAAAGTTCCAACTCCTCGATTACTAGGAGGCCAAGTGGCAAAGAAGAACCTGGCTTAGGAGTCAAGAGTGAAATCAGTTGGGGGCCTGGAAATCATGAGGGGCAGAGAGACTGATGAGAAAGAGTGAGCTAGGGTCAGATTGGCTGCTATTCCCTTCTCACCAGGGCTCATTCCCTCGCTCCTTGCTTGGTCCTAGACACAGAGCTCATAATTCTACCATCTTTGAACTGCACGATGGTTTTCTGTGAATGGCAAGATTCTCACTTGCCATTCGTGGACTGTTGGAATACACTGAGGTAGTTTTGACCACTCTTATCAGCCTGTGGGGTATTTGGTACTTTTGAGAGGTGATTAGAGGAGGGATGAGGAAATCTCTGTGTTGTCACCCTGGAAACTCTGGTTCGTGACCTTATCAGCCCTTCTGGAATTTCCCTGGTTGGTTTTCTGTGCCAAATGGAGAACTCCCACTTTAATTAAAATTTCTGGGCATGTGTAATAGAAATGGTTGCAGTGATATGACAGGAGGCATCAGAAGGTAGTTCAGGTTTTAGTCTTCAAGGGAGTTGAGGTCTGCCAGCCAAAGCGCAAATGCCCCTGAAGGGGAAAAACAAGATATCCCAAGGACAGTGATATAAATGTAAACAGCCTCTGGGCGTGGGCGTCACATGAGCTCCTTCATCTTTCAGCAGGAATTTCCCAAACCTGACCACATTCCCAAGTGCTAACAGAGAATGGAGGAAACATGGCAATCAGAGCAGTCAGTATGGAAAATAAACTGCTTACTCTTTACAGCAAGGGGACTGAAGTTTTTCAAGAGAAAGATCTAGCTGCTCTTCAATTTATCAAAACATGACAGGGCAGTGATTACAAATGCAAATATAACCTTTAGGGGCTACAAGTAAAACAACACTCACAGCTAAGCTTGTTTCCCTGTTGCCAACCTGCACGCAGTAGGCAGTTCAATCTGGATTCCTTTCTGAATGCCAGCGTTTTTGTAACCCTATCATCACAAATCCTGCTTCTGTTTGTTTGTTTGGAGAGGGATGTAACTACTACCCACTTTAAAGGATGACTATATACTTCCCTTTCTGTAGCAAACTTAAATATGAGATAATATCTTCACTTTCCCCCTTGAGATCCAAGAAATATATGAAAAACTATGAGGTGCTAGCTACCGCGAGAGGCATTATTGCCTAGAATTTTCACAAGGCTTTTGTGAAGGAGGGTTATCTGTTAACGTGTCCCCACTTCACAGATGCCAAGACAGACTCCAAGTGCTTAAGGGGTTTGGCCAGGATTAATTACTTGGTTATTACTGAGAAACAGAAAAGAGATCTGAACCCAGGTATCCTGAGTCCAATACCAGTATACTTCCAGAATACCCCTGCAGTTGAGTGCTTGGTGATGAAAAAGCAAAAACATATTTGCAGCTTGACTGTATTTTTGTGGGAGCATGGTGAAGTTGAAGAGGGAAAAAATATCTATAGCACAGGAACTTGATTGGCAATAGAAGAGAGGCAAGAAGAAAGGGGTTCTGATCTATTTTCAATAGCATCAAGCAAAAACTTTAATTAACCATCTCTCCCTTAGGTTTCTTTACAGTATACCCATTTCTTGTGTGACACTATTCGCTTGTGCCTATAGGTGGGGAATGTCCTCCTTGGTCCAGGGTTTTTTTGGGGGGTCATCTTGTTTCATCAGGACACACATGATTTCAATGTGATCACCCCAAACTGTGGTGGGCAGCTAGGTTTTAGTGCCAAGGTTTGGGAGAAGTAGAGTTTGGGCATACAAAGTAGTCCTTGCCGATTACTAATCAGGCTCAGATCTGTATTTATCTTGTTAAATAATGAAAATTCAAACAAGTACACTTTAAAGATCTAATTGACGTTATTAAACAATTCAAGAATGGGCAGCATCCCACCTAGCAACCCCTATCTAGAGGGTGCTCTGAGGAGGAGCCTAGGAAAGTCCTAAATGGAAGGTTTGTGTAGAAGGAAGGTGGGGCAAGAAAGTTTTTGGCAAAAGGGAAGGACTGTTGTGGGCAAGGTGGCTTTCCCTTAAGGGGAAAAGCAAAGGGTCTTGTCATGCAGATTATCTCATTTTTTGCTGGGGTCGAGGGATGGGGGTATGGATGGAAAAAGCCCAAGTCACAAACTCATTGGTGCTGACTGAAAAATTCCCGACTGACTGGTTAAGACTAGATTTCTAGGGGAGGTAGAAACTGCAGTTAGATTATGTTTTAACCCTGCTTTGGGAATTAGATATAAGTTGGCCTTTGGTTCTTTTGTTCTGTTTTGTTTTTTAATTTTTTAAATGTTTATTTATTTTTGAGAGAGAGAGAGAGAGAGAGACAGAGTATGAGAGGGGGAGGTGCTGCAGAGAGAGAGGGAGACACAGAATCCAAAGCAGGCTCCAGGCTCTGAGCTGTCAACACAGAGCCCGACGCAGGGCTCGAACCCACAAACCATAAGATCATGACCTGAGCTGAAGTCGGACGCTTAACCAACTGAGCCACCCAGGTACCCCTGGGCCTATGGCTTTTGTTTTAATAACGTAGACTCCCCTCCCTGAAAATGGGACATTCACTAAAATATGGAGCTTCCTCATACAAAGGATCATACAGACACATTTCCTTCTTTGAGCCATGACCACCTGTCACAACACCTTTGGTTCGGCATCCTTTCTGCCTGACAAAGGCCTCCATCAGCAGGCTTGGTCCAGCCTGTGGTAGCCTTAAGGGGCAGCTGGACTAGACTCTTGGGAGCAGACCCAGTTGACTCCAGTAGAATCTGAAAGACTCAGCACTGCTCCTTCCATTCACCTTTAAGATGACAAGCTAAGCTTCATTAAGTGAATTTTTCCCTCACTTTATTTTTTCCAGAGTTTTATTTTTAACTTTTCTGG